CTCACTGAATGACTCCCCAAACTAGATTTGAAATTCTATCAAGTTTCTAATCATTACAAGTGATTCATGTTTCTATTTGATGTGTAAATGGAGATGATTTAGTTTGCTGGGATATGGACTGACATGTGTTGAATGGGAGGAGCAGTTTGTTGTTGTCTTCTTGTCTGTTTATGACAACAATAAACTAGTGCTGTCAAAATAAATGCGTTAACACAGATTAAGCCGTCATCACAATTAAGGCGAAACAAAAAAATTAACGTTATTAAAGCTGGAGTGCAGAATGACTCAAATTTCCTGAAATGTTTCTGTCAACGCATTTCGGGCAGTTTGTCCAAGTGGAGTTACCTTTGCACATGCACAAATGGCAGTTGATCTGGTAGTGACGGGCAGCTGAACCAATAAACTTTGGGAAGACGATAAACGCACATTGGCCCTCTCGATGGGAAATTTGAGTATTGAAAAAAATAACAAGAAGGAACAGTCGAACGACATAATGTATTATGCACATTTTGCAAGAAGATATTTTATTTTCACTGAAGCATTTCCAGCTTAAAATATCACATTGACCAGACGTATACGTTAGCCGGGGATGCTGCTAGGACTTTGGCTAATGCACCACTGAGCTTGAGACAAGCCACTCACGGAGCATCAGGGACTCAGTAAGTCTACCTCGGACATATTGACCGACACAATTGATAAGTGGATTGCAACAAACTGCAGACCGATTAATATTGTTGAGAACACGCACTTTACATAGCTTTGGTTCCTCGTTTCAAGGACTTGAAGTGCCTCCCCAAGAGTGACAGAGAGAGAGAGTGGACAAATGTTTACAGAGTTTTTTGTTAACATAAATGTTCAAGATGTTCAATAAACATGTTAAGTGTCTACATTTGACCTTTTTTCAGAGTCTGTTTGCTCATACAAAATGAACTGCGATTAATATAGATTAAAAATGAATGATATTTAATCGTGATTAACCAAAATTAATCCACAGTAACCCTGTGATGAATCTGATTAAACATTTTAATTGTTTGACAGCACTAATATATATTATATATTAGTGTATACTTACCTATTAGTATATAGGTTTTTTCTTTTGGTTTTTTTTAAAGTTGCATTTCACAGGAGAGAACCTGTGCTAAAAGATTTAAGAAAACTATTCAAATTCTCTTTGAATTTAAGCATACAGTCTTTGTTTATTCTCCATTTATTTCATTATATTGCATAAATGTCTGTTACAAGCTTAAATATAAAGTTGAAAAAGTGTAATTGCAGCCAGGCTATTCATCAACTAATTGCGATTAATCGTGATTAATGACAGAAAATTGTGAGATTAATTAGTTATTTTTCCCTAATGTTTGGCTCCTGACCCAATCTCTGATCTGTAGGTATTTACAAATATTATATTTCTGTAGACCATAGAATTGAGATAGTTGACTGAAGCTAGCAAACATATAGTCCTACTACTATTATTCCTGTTGCACGTACTCACAGTACGTGCAACAGGAATAACTGCTAATGGTATTAACTTTAATTCCTGTTGCGCTATTGAGACCCACCTCACATCACTAACTTTTGCAAAAATCCACATCCACAGTACGTGAAACTGGGAAGCTAAACAATAGATTCTAAAATTACTTGGGTTGGCCACTTGAGACTGGATTTAAAAAGTAGTTTTTTTAATATGATTTTTGTAATTTTATTATAAAAAAACCAAAGAAAGAGACTAAACAAATATGTATTTCTGATTTGGGGGTTGAATCGTGAATGATGTTGATGTGTGCTTAAAAATGTGAAATTAATTTTTGGTCTTCAAAAGAATGCTTTACAAAATTGTTTTTGTCAAGAAGTCAAGTGAACCTTTAATTGTCACATGCAAGTTGCCCTGCACTGAAATGGGACCACATGTGAGAGTATTGTTGCAGTTTTGTTTGTTAATCTTAATTTTCTCTAGTTGGAAGGTTGGGTATCTTTAGTGATAAAAATATAGGCCAGGCATAAATGTAAACAATGCTTCAGCCTGTGCCTTTTCATTCAGTATTTGTAAAAAAGGCAGAATGTTTTATCACTTTTATCTTTAACACTGTACTTATTAGTGCCCTGAGGTAAAGGGTGATTGGCCCATATTTAGGTTAAAGCAGTGTGTTTTACCCAACATTTGTGAGTCAGGTGATGATTAAATGAAATCTGTTATGCAAGTTTAGCTTCAAAGTTTGAATAGTTTCTACAAAAGTAATTAACAAATGAGCTGGTGCTAATTATGTGTGGTACAACTAATGTTTGCTTTATGTTAGTTTGTACACCTAGTCACGAATAACCAAGCTGCGGCAACATCATGTGAAATCCCTGAAAAGTCACAGAAAGACAGGGGATGAGCGAAATGCTGAGGAAAAACATTATACCATGAGTTTAATGAAATGTGCAAAGCTGGCACAGGAACTAACAAAACTGGATGCTCTTGCGAGTAATGTACTTGGGTATTTAGTAAGTGCATATGTAACATATGTTACGCCACAGTCAAGGGGTAGAGGAATGTAGCATAAGGGGTAAAAAGGAAGTGACCCCGCCCTGGTCCCCAAAATCATACACAGAAAAACCAATTTCTTAAGTGAAAGGTGGTTTAATGTCTACAATGAAAACAAAGCTCTGGAGTGAACAAAGACCAAAATAACAAACAAAACAAGCTAAGTCAGGAGAGGAGGTGTCATCTAAAACCCTATGTGAAACAAAAACCAAACAAAAGACAGATGCTACATCTAACTCCGTAACTGAAATAAAGAGGAGAAAACAGTACAAGAAAATAATAAGGCAGCTCACCCCTTCTGTTTCATTTTCTATTCACAATGTACTATTTACAAGTGAAAATGTATCTACACGCTATGTACAAAGCTCAGGGGGTCTTCTGTTGCTGCTGTCAGTTGCTGCTGCTGACACCTGCTGGGCAGGGATCTTTTAGAAACAGCCACCTGATGAGGGGACCAATCAGCCGCCGCTAGCTCCCCAACCAGGAAGGACCTGTAGAGTCTTAAAGACACAGCACAACAAAAATACACAGCCGGTCCAGGGCCGTAACAACATAGTTAAATAAGGTTCAAGTTAAATTCTGCTAAATGGGACATTGGCACCACCTACTGTTGTAAATGTCACCCTGCAATAACCACGAAGGGGCAAGGAATTCTGGGTAATCAGAGTAATGGAGGATGTCCGTAGAGATAAGGAATGTGCAAATGTCATGAACAAAAAAAGTCATGTTGCTAGCTGTAAGGGTAATACAAGTTGACCCAGTTATTTTTGGTTAAACATTCTTTCCCGTGGGTTATATCTCCCATCCTTATGTTGGGTTTAACCAGGGGTGGGCAACTCCAGGGCTCAAGGGCCGGTGTCCTGCAGGTTTTAGATGTGTCCTTGATCCAACACAGCTGATTTAAATGGCTGAATTACCTCCTCAACATCTCTTGAAGTTCTCCAGAGGCCTGGTAATGAACTAATCATTTGATTCAGGTGTGCTGACCCAGGGTGAAATCTAAAACCTGCAGGACACCAGCCCTTGAGGCCTGGAGTTGCCCACCCCTTGGTTAAACTTTCGTGTATGTGAGACGTCTTTATCAATAAAAAGACCCGGGAGTATAGTTAGTGTTAAGGGTTCAAATATTGAGGAGGAAGTACACAATAACACTAAGTCCAGATAGGGCCGGGCCAAACGATGATTTTAATGAAACACACGTGTGGGAGATGAATACTGTACGCAGACAGCATCGATCTCTGTCTAACAATACACAAGCAGTTGTTTTTATACCATCGGGGAAATTTATAACGCCCCCTCATGCGTTAAGCAGATACAATATATGTATACGTCAAATCAAAGCCACAATGACTTTTAACACAGTTTGAAAAAGCAACATCGCCTCGTCTCCATCCCAGGTGTCTTCCTGTCGCTGCCGGACACTCGATTATCATCTGGAACATCAGGCACACCTTCTGCAACAAACTGTTCTTTTGCAAACACAATTTTGCAGTTGCAAGCTTTTACAAAATATTATTTGAACCTTCACCTACCCCTGAGTCTAACTGCTGTGTACGTGTGTGTTTGTGTGTGTGTGTGTGTGGCTCGACCTCACACGAACTTTGTCTTATGAGGAGAGAGGCCAATTCTCATGTGCATAATAACCTAACTGAAACTATATCTGTAATATGTTGAATAAATGTTTTAATTAAGAACCTACTAAAAGCTTAATCAAAGAATATAAAAGTATAAAAGATAATAATGAATAACCTGGTTATTCAAATAGCATCATCCAAACAGGAGTAAAGGCATTTCAATATCCCAGAAATTAAAGAGAGTGACACAATAGGTTGAACATCCTTAGAAGATGTGGAAATTTTGCCCATAAGCCAGTGTGTTGAAGAGGGGAGCTGATGAGCTACAGGAAATCCACAGAGGGCATTGATTTCATTCATTGAAAACACTGTGGAAGTACACGAGAAGATGCCCAGCAAAGAAAGAAGGTGACTCCCAGGGTGGGAAACAGAGGGTTCGATCCAAATGTGCACTGAAAACTGTTGTTGCTCATGACGTTGGAGAGGGCTTATGTGGTGGCATCAGCCACACATGGGTAAATCAGTCCATTTGTTCACTTTATTAGTTTGGTTTGCAGTTTTCTTCATTAATATAATCCATTAATCATTTTATTTAAGCCTAACAC